GAAAGGATAATAGTTTTTCAAAATGTGTATCCTTCAAAGTGGTTTTGAAATAAACCAGGCAAAATATGTTCTTTACCAATTTCAAATTAAAAATTAAAACACTATTCTACTTACTACACTATAATAGGGTTCTGGTTAAAAATGTCACTTAGTGACTACATCAAGAAAGCCTTATTAAGTCAAAAAATTCCTCTCCTTTTCTATACCCAAGTCTTTCAAAGTATAAAAAAAAAAGGGCAATATAAACTTATCTCATGAAGGCTGTTAAAAAAAAAAAAGGATGGAAAGACTCCAAACATCAACGTAAGAGGCTGAATATTATTTTCAATCCCCCAGGAATAAGGCAGAAAATAGTAGCAAAATTAAATGAAATCATAAAGACAAATTTGAGTTACCCAATTGTCCCTTTGGAGGGACAGCTATTCATTCAACAAATGGGGTTGGCAAAAGTAGGTTTACAGTTGTGGTATGTTAAAGTTTATTCTTGTATTATAACTATAAGCTGCATGTCTTTGTCCATACAAACAATCCTACTTTTGCCCACCCCAATCTTGATCATTTGTTTATTTCTTAGTAACCATGGTTTATTCCTTCAATTATGGCTATTAGATTATATAAACAAATAAAAGGATACTACAATCTACTAGGAGAATTATGGCTATTAGATTATATAAACAAAAAAATACTACAATCTACTAGGAGAGATAAAACAAATTTTCAAAAAAGTAAAAAAATGCAATTAAATAAAGTTCTCTAGATGTTCAGCGTGAGCAGAAATGACTTTCACTTGAAAAGAATCAGTTAAGACTTCAAGGAGAAAGTGGAATTTAGGCTGAGTTTTGAAAAGATGTTTTAGTTTCTTCATTTGATGAAAGCACTGGGAAAGAATAATAGTAAAAGCACAGAGATGAAAAAAAAGAGTCAAAGCAATTACAATAATACACAAAGGTGGCATTCGCCCAGCCCCTAAAACCATTTGCTTATTTTGGAGATAACACAGCTATGTGAATGCAGGAGGGGAAGGACCCTGTAAAGTAAGAGGAAGTCTGAAAATGCACTGTGAGACACAGGGTAAGCAAAAGATCAAGGTTCCTGAGAATTCAGAAACTGAGATGCAGAGCACCTATATCAGACAGGAGGAAAAGGGGGACGCAGTTGAATATACCCAGGCTGAAGTTTTACCAAATCAGAGGTGAAGGGTTGATGGTATATTTAAGAAAGTGACTAGCAATGACAAATCCTAGAAGGTACTGGATAAAGTAAAGACAAGACTGAGTAAAGAAAAAGTAGGGGCTTTGTTAGTGGAATAAGGTTTTGATGAAATTCAGTAACTAATGCAGGGACTTCTGTTCAACATGACTGAACTGATTGAACACATTGGTTTGCCCTCAGGTCACTTTCAAAATCCCAGGGTGCAGGGCAGGGAGGGTGGAAATAAGAATGCCAAAGGGCAACACACTGCTTCATTTGCAAAATCCCACTTAGGCTCAGAAATTAGAAGTACTAGGTACAACAGGTGTTTTATGGTAGACCAGAAAACAAAGGAGTGAGTGGATCCAGAATCTGTATAAGCAGTTAGGTTCCTAGATTTTCTTCCTGACTCTGAGAAGCCAGGCTACTACTATCTCTGACCATTACAGAAGACTCAAGGTTTCCTTTGGGAACACTTAAGTAATGGGACTCTGGAGCTTTGTACAACAGACTCACATAAAGGACACAACTATCATACTGAAAATGGGAGATTACATTAAAGCCTACATACTTAATGATGAGATCCATCCCCTGGGTCATTATCCCACCTGCCACTGGCAGCCTAGTTTACAGTCCCCAGGCAGAAGACTAGAGGACTCCTCTCAGGATTAAAGTGGCCTAAGAGAAAGACAATGAGAGAGAAGGGGTGAAGGTCCCCTTCTCAACTGCCTATTAAACAAGGAACTAGTTCAAGAAAAGACCACAGGAACAATAATTCAGTGCATCCAACACAAGAAGTGAAGGGAATATCCTAGGATAGCCTTAAATAGAGATCCCCAGAGAATAATTATGCAACACACCTGGAGAACAACCAGACCAGATTTGAACAAGGGCATGGAAGTTCTCAGACGTTTCCTTCCACCAGAAAAGGAAAGTTACTAGTTTGAACATACTAAGATGATATTTACACTTACTGACAAAGTTTGTGATGAATTACTATAGATATTTATAGCAAAGGAAGCAGATGTGGGAAAAAAAGGTAATGTTTACCAAGAGGAAAAAAAAGTTGCACAAAATGGGAAATATTACTATGGTACATATGCTGCACAGTTAACGATGTGCATTAATTTAACAAAAAAAAAAATGATATAATTATGTTGGAGAGATTGGATGAGAGGAAGTGCAGGGAGCCTAAATCCTCATCTTTCATGGGAAGAAATCTATACATAGCTGCTCTTCTTCATCCTAGGCAGTTTTCTTGTAAAATTTCCATTTTTTGATTTTTTTTAAGGTTTTTAAAGTTGAGTTCTGAATTCCAGTTTTTAAAAAATAAAACTTTTTTATCAAAATTAAAATTATATAAGATTCTTGAGCCAACAAAATGGAAGAAGAGTGGGTTGTGATCAGAGCAGAATGTCTGAGTTAGTGATTTGGGGAGTTGATGAATTTTTAATGACAAGATCCAGGCAGAAACTGTGTGACCAGGTTGCTGAGAAAGAGAAGTAAAGGAATTAAGAGGCCCAAGTGTTAGTTGAATTGTGAGTCCAGGTGCAGCAGCCGCCTAAAAATGATGATGTATAGCTGTGCTAGGTGTTTTCCATGTCCTTTCCCACCCTTTCTACCATGTTTTCTGCCCCAGTATGTAGACCTATATGGGCTCTATCAACAGGTTCCCAAGTGCCCTAGCTTCTGGTTGGGTTTGTCCAATAGGGAATCCCAAGGGGAAGTAGGAGAATAAGGTCAAGACATTTACTCCTCCCGCTTCCTCCCTGCAAAGTCACCTCACGCTGGCTATGTCCCTTCAACTGAAATTACTCCTGTTCCAGCAGCCAACTCCACACTCTTCTTCAGAGTTCAAGTAACCACTCTCTCCCCTACCCCTTCCAGTCTACGGATGTTAACTATTTGGCTACAGGTTACACTACCTCTCTAGGTACCACCTCTTTATAAACAGTACATCTTTACAAGTGGTACTTTTGTAAAATAAACCCTCCTCACATTATCCTATTTCAAGTGTGCCAACCGTTCCTGTTGGGACCCTGCATGATGAGGTAATAAGAATGATGATGATGTTGACACAAGGTTTTAACAAAGACTAGTGTAAATACAAGAAAAGTGACTACTATTTAAATAACAATTACTGCCCCAGCCAGTGAGGCTTGGTTGGGCGTCATCCTGCAAACCAAAAGGTCAACAGGTGAGGGCACAGGCCTGAGTTGCAGGGTTTGATCCCCAGTGGGGGCGCACGCAAGAGGCAACTGAGGGATGTTTCAATGCTGCTCCTTCACACTGATGTTTCTCTCCCTCTCTTCCCCTCTGTCTAGAACCAATAAAAGAAACTAAATAAAAACAAATAAATAAATAAATAACTATTATTACCACATTTTGAGCTCCACGTTCCAAGAACTTCTCTTAGCTGTTCATAGGTATTAATTCATTTAATCACAGGAAGCACCCTATGTAGCACGCAGAGATTTTTGTCTGGTTCATTTCCATATACCAACACCTAGCGCAGTTGCTGGTACATGGTAAGCACCCAAACACTGATTTAAAATACACATAACAATAAGTTTAGTAGGGAAGGGCTGACTTGTGGTATAGTGTAGCACATCTCCAATTTACTTTGAAAACTATATAAAAATCAGGGACCTGTCATTCCCCAGATCACAAAAACTAATTAAACACTAAGACCATATGGAAATGACTTTCTTGTGTAGCCTGCAGTGAGTCCTATTCTTTTATCTTCCCATGAGGTTATCCAGGACTTGGGTTCTCAATTGCTTTTTTTTTTAAGTGTAATAATAAAAGTTGTAAGTTTTTAAATATTATGCACTTGCAGCCTCGACTGATTTAAAAGAGCAGAGCACTTTTAAGTACCAGTTATTAGTTTAAAAAAAAGGAGGGGACCAATTTTTTTTTTTTTTTATAAAATGCAAAAATAGGCATGGTAAAGTCAGCAAGATCAAGCATACACACTCACACACAAAAAAGAGCACGGCAAAGGTGAGTATGAAAACAAGAAAAGGAAACATGAGACACGTGAATCAAAGAACGCAGAAAATACAAAAGGTATAAAAGATCGTGATTAAACCCCTCACTGGATGCTCACAGATACGTGGCATAATCAAGAAGGCTATGATATCCATATCTTATAAAGAACCGAAAAGACAAGGTAAGAGAACCAATATGCAGCAAAATAAGAACTGCAAAGATTTTTTGAAATCAGAATTGATGTTCTTTATCTTTACATTACATTACACTCCAAAGCACAGGCAAATTTTACGGGTACAAGAATCCAGAAACCTGAGAAGTTTCGAGAATAATGAACTCAAACTAGAGTGAAACATCAGCAGGAACAGTGAGGTGAAAGGCTTCGATGGAAAGGAACTGCCAAGCGCAACACTTGGACACTGAAGGGAGACCGATAAAACACCCTTAAGTGAAGATGGAGAATGACTGGGGCTAGATTTGGTTGAAGGAAGACAAAACGGAAAAGCAGGGCCTAAGAAGCAAGTAGCAAAGATAAAACTTAAAAAGGACTACATCTATGCCACAGTAAAGAGTAGGAACTACACATCAGAATCTATGGGGTGGGGAAAGGGCCAGTTCGCGACCCGCTTTCTGTGACTTTTTTCCAAAAAGCCGCGTAGCTAGCTTTAGCTTCTCAGCCCCACCCCGCGGGAAGCGGCTCCTCCCCGAGGAGGACCCCACGAGGCCAACCACCGGCTTCGGGCTCCGGCTCCAGCTCCAGCTCAGTTCCCACCCCGCCCTTTCCCCGCGGGGCAAAACGGCCTCCCTGGGCCCCTCACCGAACGCTGCAGCTCCCCAAGCCAAAACGAGGCGCGCTCCTTTCCGCTGGGATCTGGGTCGTGGTAAAGCGCCTGCACTGCCTGGTACACGAGCTGTAATGTTGGCTTTGCCCCTTCCATGGTGGGGGCGGTGGTGGCGGCAGTGACGGCTCTGGCTCTTCTCCGTGGCTTCTCCGGTTGCTCCGCCTTCGTGCTTCCTTACTGTGTCTGCGTCGGCCGCTCCCCGACTGGCGCCATCTCCTCTTTGGCCGTTACCAGGGCAGAGGGGTTCCCGGTGGAAGTTGCCCCCTCGGAAACAGGGGTTAGATCGCAATCAGGTTCCTGGCCCTTTTCCAGATCTTCCCACTAGACTCCAGACTAATAAGTCCAGACGCCGGTTCTCGCCTCCACACCCGCTGACTGGCCCTCAGATATCTGTCCCAGGAACACACAAACCACGCAACGCATCTAAACCGCGCTAACCCGGACCGGAAACGGTAGCACGGATACCTTTAGCACACTTCCGCCTGGTGCAGTGCAAACGGCCTCCTTCCTGGCACGCCTCCTCGTGTCTACCCGCCCTCTCCCGGAAGTGACTCTCCAGGGCGAGGAGCTGGAGAGAAGTGCTCCTAGGTGGTTCTCTTGGTTCCTTGCTTCCGACTGGATCATTAGGACCCACTTGTGTCCCTTACCTGAGCCTCTCTCCTCCTCTTGGCAATGGATCCGAGGTGTTCCCTCTGCATTCTGACTTCTCCATCCCTCTTCAGAGGATTCTTCCTGACCCTAGTGGCCCAAACACGCCAGTTCAACTATCCAAGGCGTGCCCACTGTACTGGAAATTCAATGACTGAAAGTCAGGTTTTCTGTATTGCCTCTAGTGGAGGAGGCAGACACGTAATCAAATAGCTGTTGTACAAACCTGGAATATGTGCCACATTGAAATAAATTCAAAATGCGTACAATCCCTATTCAGCTACCTTTCCACTAAGTTCTTATACCCAAAAGGTTATGTATTTCTATTGCTCAGGACACTCTGAACTCCAGAGTATTTGCATACATCTTTAAAGTCATTCCCACACCGAATTGTATTTTTGTGTATGCCTTTCTTTTGGAATCCAAAATAAATGGTCTGACAATTCTCAATGGTAGTATGTTAAAGGATTTCCCAACATTGTTGTTACTCTTTGGCAATAATAAATGCTACTCTTTGATGAATGCTTACAATGTGTGTAAAGCTCTTTAGTTACAACATCTCAATTATTCCTGCTATACCAGTTAAATCCCCGTTTTAAGGAATAGGCGTGGGTACTGTAATTTGCCCAAGGTGACACAGTTCTTAAATGAAAGTCAACATTTGACTCCAAATCAGCTTTACTCCAAAGCCTATTACATAGTTCAGTCTTTATCATTCTGTGATTTAGTTTGTTTCTAATTTGTTATTCTTAAGGGATTTTCGCTGCCAATATCACAATGAAAACAGTGTTACTATGCAGAGTTGATATAATTCTGAAAAGAAAAGAAACTTGATATTTTGGTTACTAATTCACCTATTCACTAAAAAGAGATTTAGTAAGACTATCTTGGTCTTTGCCCTCATGGAGTTTACAGTCTAATTGCAAAGAAAGATAAGCAATTCAATACAGTTAAAAAGTTCTATGAATATCCACAAAAGAACAATGTTGAACATGCTTTGTACCATATACAAAAACAAATTCCTAGGAGACAAATGTAAGGGATAAAACTACAAAACTCTGGAAAGATCCCCAACTGGTATAACTTAGTTGGTTGGGCGTCATCCCACAAAGTGAAAGGTCACTGGTTCAATTCTCTGTCAGGGTACATGCCTGGGTTGCTGTCCGGTCCCAGCTGAGGCATGTACAAAAGGCAACAGATGAATGTTTTTCTTCCTCTCTTTCTCTCTCTCTTCTCTCTAAATATTAAGTAAATAAAAATCTTAAACAATAACACTCTTGGAAGAAAACAGGAATATATGACCTTCACGACCTTGAATTAGGCAATAGTTTTCTTAGATATGGCACCAAAAGCACAACAATAAAAGAAAAAAATGGATATATTGGACTTCATCAAAACTAAAAACTTTTGTGTCAAAGAACACTTAAGAAAGTGAAATGACAGCCCACAAAAAGAGAAAATATTTGCAAATCATGTCTGATAAGGAATTAGTATCCAGTATATATTTTAAAAACTTGTACAATTCAACAAGGAAAAGGTAATTCAATTTTTTTTAATAGGCAAAGGGTTTGAATAGATATCTCTCCAAAGAACATATACAAATATATGTGAAAAAATGCTCAGCATTATAAGTCATCAGGGAAATGCAAATCAAACCATAATGAGATGCCATTTCGCACTCACTAGAATGGCTAAAATAAGAAAGACAGTGTTGGCAAAGATGCGGAAAAATTGAAACCTTCACACACTGCTAGTAGGATTGCCAATGGGTGCAACCATTTTAGAAAAGAGTCTGGCGATTCCTCAAAGTTTAAGCAGAGTTACCATATGACCCAGCAGTTCCACTCCTAGGTATGAACATGCAAGAAATGAAAACATCAGTTCATGGAAACACTTGTACATGAATGTTTATAGCAGTATTATTTGTGACGCCCAAAAAGTAAAAACAACCTCCAAGTCCATCAACTGGTGACAGGGTAACAAAATGTGGTATATCCGTACAATGAAATAGTAAATATTAAAGGAAAGAAGTACTGATACATGCTACAATGTGGATAAACCTTGAAAATATTATGCTAAGTCAGCAATTTTCAACCTTTTTCATGTCATGGCACACATAAATTAATTACAAAAATTCTGTGGCACACCAAAAATATATTTTTTTGCTGATCTAATTAAAAAAATAGGTCTAATTCATTCACACTGGGCAGTTATTGTTGCATTGGCTGTTGCTGTCTTTTTTTTTAATTTGACAATCTGAAGGAAAGGAGGTCAGGTATTGCATGTTTTAAAAATTCTTATGGCACACCAGTTGAAAATCACTGTGCTAAGTGAAAGTAGCCAGACAAAAATGAAATGTCCAGAATAGGCAAATCTCTAGAGACAGGAAGTCAGTGAGTGGGTGCCAGGGGGTGGGAGAGAGGAGAAAGATGAAGTGTTCTGGAATTAGATAGTGGCCATGATCACACAACTTTGTGAATATACCAAAAACCATTTAATGTATACTTTAAAAAGATGAATTTTATGATATGTGAATTATATTTCGATAAAAAGTTCTATGTTTAGGATTATTTAAAATACCACATAGATATTTGGCTGAAAGTTAAAAACAAAAAAACACAACAATAAAGAAACACATAGTATCTCACTCATGTTTGTACCCTCAAGCCATTGTCTAACATATTGTCTGTGCATAGTAAATGTTTTAAGCGACTTGTCTCTTAGCTTTTTAGTGTTAAAAAAAATCATTCTAACTGCAATGCAAAATGGCTTAGGCAAGGGGCCAGGTGACAATAACAAGAATAAACTATTGTAATAATCCTGGTAGGAGTGATGGTGGCCTAAAGTAAGCCGTTGGCAGTGCAGGTGGAGACAGAGTTATTTAAGATGAATTTCAGAAGAATTTTGATGTAGTGATTGTTTGAGTTGCAGGGTATGAGGAGAGGGAAGAGAAAGCAGGCTTCTGAGTATGGAACCAAGAAGAAGAAACAGCTTTTATGCTGTGGGTAAAAGTATAGGGGCAAAGATGTGAGTTTAATCTCAAACATGTTGCGTATTGAGGCACTCACAAGACTGCCAAGACCAGCATGTGTGAGACTGAAGCCAGGGACCGGGCTGAACACAGAGATTTGAGAGTCATCAGTGTATATATATAGGTGGTGGGTAAAGACAAAGAGATGGTTGAAATGAGCCAGGGAGAAGAGGGACCAAGGCAGGTGTCTACAGATAAACATTATTTAAAGGATTGGCAGAGGAAGTAGAGGCTAAGGACAAGTAGCCAGAGGGGAAGGTAGAGAGCCAGGAAAAGATGCTGGACAGATCAGAAAAATGGAGATTTTATTAGTATAGTGAACACATTTACTTATTTTGAACACATTACTTATATTGAAGGAGCATCTGATGCTTCAGAGAGGTCAAATGTGGTTAGAATAATAAATTTGAAATAAAATAGAAATAGTTGAAATACCAAAACCTCTTTTGTCTTTAGGTATGATGGCCACACTATGATCACTGAACTCTCGTGCCAAGTTTGATGGGCCAACTCCACTCTCCACTTAAAGAGCCCTCGCTTCTTCTTCCTACAAGGAAATGCAATCTATTTTCTTTAAGCAAGAAGGTGGCTTTCTGAGGGAAAGAAGGAAAGAGGAGGTGTTTCTTTTACTCACTAATGGTGAGCTTACCCAAAGGTTAAATGTCATCCTGCAATAGACAAGGTCCTCTCCAGTTCCATGCAGACACTGCGACGGGGACTTCCATAAAAGCTTAAATCTGCCACAGGATGGTGTACGTGACTCATAGTGAACTTCGGGTTACACTAAGGATAGACTATAGCCCCACAGAGTGCTCCTGACTTATCTTTTCTCACCCTCTGATCGCTGCTCCTCCATCCGCCAAAGCCCAGGGTGAGGTGAGCCCTTGCACTTGGTAGAGAAGTTACACAGACAGCTGTGCAGAGGCCAAGGATTTCCCCTCAGAACCTATTCTTTGATTACTTGGCGTGTTCAAAACCTTCCTAGAGATCCTTGAAAGAATCCCCTTCTTTTCCTCCCTAACTCAAATTGTGTTTCTGTCACCCACCGTGAAGACTTTTGATGAATACTGTGCTGTCTTAGTTGAGGCTGACATAACAAAACACCCCAGACTCTGCGGCTTAAATGACAGAAATTCATTTTCCCAAAGTTCTGGAGACTGGAACTTCAAGATCCGGGTGCCCTCCCAGTCGGGTTCTGGTGAGAGCTCCCCTCCTGACTTGCAGATGACGGCATTGTCGCTGTGTCCTTACGTGGCAGAAAGAAAGAGATCGCGCTTCCTTTTCTCACGAGGCCACAGTCCCATTAGAATAGGCACCAACTTTATGACCTCCTTTAACCTTAACTATCCCCTAAAGATCCAATCTCCAGACATAGTCCCACAGGGGGTTAGAGCTTCCACATACAAAATCCTGTGGGTACGGTGGAACACAATTCACTCCATAGTATCTGCCATTACCTCCACTGACCTTGGAGAGCTGGGAGAAGGCCCTCATCTTCAGTCAAAAGAATCAGGTAACATCAGGTTTCTTTGGCACACAGATGGTAGTAAATGCTCAGGCACAGCTGTGCCGACTGCTCCAGGGGCTGAGATATGCTGTGCTCAACCAGAAGACAGCGCCCTTAGGTTGGAGGCAGGTTGGATCCAGCTTCCTGCTGGAAAGAAGCAGTAACAAATTTCTCCGGTGGTAGAAGGATGCTTGTAGGGTAAAAAGATACATATATAAGAATGTTCATCCCAGTGCAACTTGCCCTAGTGAAAAGATGGAAA